GTGTTTTGGCAAATGTCGGAGAATTTTTCCATCATCTGGTTCTCCAGGAGGTTAAGCCCGATGTTCTTGGATGCGAGTCACTGGAGCCCAGGCTCAATGGCCGGCCCTTGACCAACACGGGTGCTCTCTCCCATGCACGACAGTAAGAGCCCCGGCGCCAATTGCATGTCCGCAGCACAGCTATGTGCCTTCCCCGGAACAAGATGTTGCCCGCAAGCCTCTGCGTGTCAATGCCCTCTTCCTCACTTATAACACCCTCTCCTGCAGGTCTAGCCTTCAGCGACACTGTCTGCATCGCTTCATGCAATCCCAAGATGCAGCGGTGTTGGCACTGCAAGAAACCCGCCAGGTTACTTTACCTGTTACTGTGGTTGAGGGGGTCATTCGGGTTGCATCTGCCCCGGTTGACGGGCAGTTGGGATGTCAGCTTTGGTTGCGATCCAGCGGCGCGCTTGCTTTTGACCGCCACCGCCTGTCTATCCTTTGTGCTGAGCCGCGGATGCTGATAGTGATGGCGCAGACATCTGTGGGTCCGCTGGTCTTTGTGGTTGCGCATGCTCCCACTTCTACGGCACCTGCCGGGGAGAGGGAGGCATGGTGGGCGTGTCTCACCAGGCGTCTGCGCGGCTTGCCGCCTAAGGCCACCCCGGTGTTGTGCTGTGATGCGAATGCTCGGTATACCTGGCGCCAGGGCCAAGAGCACCCGGCGAATGACAATGCCGTGCAGCTCGAAAAGGTGGCAGAGACTTTTGAAATGTGCCGTACCAAGTCTTACAGCCCTGATGGAGACTTGGTAGTGACCTGGACTTCCCCTCAAGGAGTCCCTGCTTGCCTGGATTACATTCTTTTTCCGCGCGTCTGGCAGGCTCATGTTGCCACTGTCCCGGGTTGGATGAACATGCTGGAGTTGATCATCAAGTCCTGGGGGCACGTCTGGACATTCAGCTTGATGTGGCAGCCCGCAAAGCCCCTGTCTTGACCGCGAGGCTATGCTGACCCCTGAGGGCCGGATTGCCGTTGCGCAGCTTTTTGCGACTGCCCCGGTCTGCCCATGGTCCGCCAACTCGGACGAGCACTTGCGTGGCCTCCACGAGCACCTACTCCATGGTGCACGGGCCCTTTTCCCGGGCACAAAGCATGGCCCACGCCGGCCGGTCCTTTCTGATGGCACCTGGCAGCTTTTGCGGGTTAAGCGTTGGGCACGTCGTGTTTACCGTCGCAGGCAGCAGCTTTTCCGCCGTCAATGCTTGCACGCTGTCTTTGGGGGCTGGCGCGAAGCTGCTCATGCTTGCGATGGCGGTCTACCTGAGGCGAGCCTTGTACGGGTCCACGACTACCGGGTTGCACACTACATTCGCTTCATGCAGCAACTCGGTGTTTCGTTACGCGCGGCCACTTTGGCTGATGAGGCAGCCTTTGCGAGAGATCACTTGGCAAGGGCACGCAAGGGGGGACCCAAGGCAATGGCTGCTGCCATACGCGCGGTGCTAAAGCACGGCAGGCGCTATAGGCAGCCACAGCCTGCTGCCACGCTTCGAACTGATAAGGGTGTCTTGGTACACGATGAGGCCGACATTAAAGCGATGTTTGGGCACCACTTCGCTAGGTCAGAGCGTGCCACTCCTTGCCCTTTTGCAGACCTTGCGTGCCTGCGGCCCGACGGAGCCCCCGCGCATCTTGTGGTTGATGCCTTGCCGACGGCTGCTGATCTCTCTAGTGCCTTTGCAGGCATGAAGTGCGGTAAAGCTCCGGGCCCCACTCTTCTTCCGGCGGAGCTCTTTAAGGCGGCACCCATGGAGGCAGCTTTGAGTGTCATGCCGGTACTTCTCAAATGCCAGGCTCGGCAGTGCTTCCCTCTCCTCTGGCGTGGAGTGCATTCTATTGCACTCCTGAAGCCCCATAAAGACCCGCAAAAGGTTGACAGTCACAGAGCCATCGCTCTCATGGCCACCACCGGCAAAGCAGTGGCAAAGGCCTGCCGCCCTGTTTTGGCAAGGAGGTTTGAGTCTATCACACAGGCGTCCGTAGGTGGCTCTCGAAAGGATGTCCCGATTGAGCTCCCCTCTTTGATGGTGCAGGCTTTCCTTGGCCATCTCCGTCGCCACAAGCTCAATGGTGCGGTGCTCTTTTTGGATGGCGTTGCGGCCTTCCCGTCTACGGACCGCACTCTGCTGTTTGACCTCACGGAGGAGGAGCTTCAAGCCAAGCTTGTTGAGGCTCAGGTTGAACCTGAGGTGGCGGCTAGGTATAAAGCGGCTTTCCAGGGGCAGGGTGCCCTCGGTCGCGCAGGTGTGCCGGCAGATGTGGTCGCGTTTCTCCGGGCCTCTCTTCGAGGAACCTGGTTTAGTGTGGACGAAAAGGCTACCCAGGCTTACGCCACCACATGCGGCACGCTACCGGGCGCACCCAACGCTGACATCTCTTTCCAGTATGCAGCTCAGGCATCCCTGGCCGCCCTTGAGCGCCACCTTGCTGATGAAGGTATATCAGCGAGACTTGCTGCCCCCTCTGGCGGCCAGGTTGACGCACCTCCAGCGACGTGGTTGGACGACATCGTTTTGATGATCGCCAGTCCCAATGTCTTGCAGCTACCGCATGCCGTCGCACGGGCGGCCAGCTTGGCTGCTCAATACCTTCGTATCTTGGGAGTTCGGACTAACTTCTCCCCAGGCAAGACGGAAACTGTCCTGCATGCGTGTGGCCCTGGCTCCCAGCAGGTAATGCGTCGATGCATGGTTTGGGACGATCTACAGCCCATCCCAGGCATAGGCGTCAGCATCCCAGGTCATCCGGACGTCCAGCTGAGGTGCGTGGCCCAATATGCGCATCTCGGAACGTTGCGTGCCGCTGACGCCAGGAGTGTCGAAGACGTTGCCAAGAGGATTGCCCATGCCCGCGAGGCTCTGCACCCGGTTCGTGCCAGGCTTCTTACTAACCCGAACTTTGGGCTGGCGGAAAAGAGGGACTTTGTCTTCGCTTTAGTCCTAGCACGCCTCCTTCACAACTCTGGCACGTGGGTTTTTCACTGCATGACCCACCTGGGCAAGTTCAGGCGTGGCTACTACGGTATCCTTCGTGGCTGCGTACGACCCCTCTGGGGTTTCCCGTGCAGGCGTTTGAGCAATGAGCAAGTGTGTGCTCTTCTTGGAGCCATGCTGCCGGATGAAGCGCTGGCGTGCTCGAGAGTACGGGTGCTTGCTGCAATTTCTCGCCAGGGCCATGCTTTTCTTGAAGCGATTCTGTGCTCGGAGCAATCCTGGCTGGAGCGGGCTCTCCAGGATGTCGTCAGCGTGGCTACAGTGGTCGCTGACACGGGCCTCTGTGCGTGGGCGGAACAGGCCCGGGCTGGCAACACGTCTCTTAAAAGCTGGCCCCTGTCCGCCGGGCTAACTCGCTCTCTGCTGAGGCGCTTCCGGGTCAAGGTCGTGCAAGGGCGTGACTGCCTCGTCAAGCCTGCTGCCGATAAGGCGCGCCTTCATGAACGGGCGGCTGCTGCAGGGGTATGCTACAATGCTGTTCCGGTCATCAAGCCCACCGATGCTGCGTGTGGATGCAAGCTCTGCGGCTCGTACTTCAGCACGGCTGCTGCTATGGCTGCCCACATGGCTAAGGTCCATGATGTCCGGTCACAGGCCAGTTACGCCATAGGCTCCTCTTGCCAGGTCTGCTGCCGGCAGTTCTGGTCGACTGCCAGACTGCGCCAGCATCTCCGGACGTCTGGGCGCTGTGCTCGCTCCTTTGCGGGAGCAGACCTGGACGCGGAGCCGGATGTTCATGAGGACCCAGGCGTGCGAGCTCCGCCTGTGGTCATGATTGGGCCGCGGCCCTGGTGGGCCCTGCTGGCGCCCCAACTGCCTTCACCGATTCCCAGCGCAGAGGTCAGCTGGCCTACGAACCACAGTGGGTCCACCTGCTTCCTCCCTATCCTAGAGCGTTTTCTGCGGCTGGTTGAGTCCCATGGGTCTGCTGAAGCGGCCCAAATTTTGCAGGAGGTAGTCTTTTCTGACGAGTATGGACGCCTCGCCCAACGGCTTGCGCCTGCTCTGTCGGACTCTTACCACGAGCATAAGTACGCATGTACAGGTCAGCTGCGTGCGATTGCTCGGAATGGTTTTGTCGTTTATGGACCCACAGCGGCTGTGATGGCTTTTGGCCCGGCCCTGCTGCGGGCTTAGCTGCAAGGACGGAATTTGCGCGTGCGTCTTCTGACTCGAGCCACATCCGCCAAAAAAAAACCCTAAACCC